TATACTTACAAACACTATTTTATATTAAATGAATTTTCTCTTAACTTTCCAGATTTTGCGAGATATACGGCAAGGTTTACTTCAAATGAGCCGTGAAGGTCGCATAGGTAAGCTTAAAAGGAACTTTAATACAATTTTTATTCTTTCGAAATTCAATGTTTTACAATTCTTTTTCTTATTGAAATGAAATTTAAAAATACACAGCTACAATATTTCCCCAAACATTTTGTCATTTACCAACGCTTCGCTGTTGCACCTGCGAAAAAGTTGACTTTCCGTCCCAACGGCTTTGTTCACCTGCAACAGCAAGCAACTCTGTGAGAGCGACTCTTATGCCTAAGTGAGCGTAAAATGCATACGTCCGTTTCCGTTTGGCGTGCAAACAGTTGCATACCCACACATGCACCAACACGCATGCATCTGCTTTCTGCTTTCACAACAAGAACAAGATTGCCAACACAAACAAAAATGTTGAGCACATGCTCAACTCTTTTGGCTGCCGCACTACTTTAGCAGCCAAGCAACGCATTCGCTTACCAATACACACGACAGCTCGTCGGACAGACACATACGAGTGTTGGTCTGCCTGCATCTTGGCGAAATGTGGAGTAAACAAAGGTGCAATGACACTTTTCGGCTGTCGCTTAGCATACTTACTTTCTCGCTTCTCGCCATGCTTCCGGTGCTACTTCTTCAAGCTTGTTGCTTTCTTTTCTACTTGAAGGCACAGTGCACTTGAGCAGCGCCACATTTTCCATGTAAATGCGCGTGAAATGCTAAACATCTGCACACAAGTGTTGGTATGAAAAAATAGTTGCATACTTGGCAGCGCAAAGCACGTGTGTATGAGCATCGGCGCATTCGAGTGTTTGTTAGGGGAATTTTATGTATTTTCTTAAGCGAATTTAAGCACATTAATTTCATTAATTTTGAGTGCAAATTTTGTGTATTTTAAAATTAATTATTTATATATATATATATTTATTATATTTTTTTTTTTTTTTTGGCATATTTACTTATATTTGTTTATATCAATTTATTATCTTTCCTTCACAGACGATACCTACATGTATGACGATGCTCTACGCGGCCCACATTACGCCGTAAGCGGTCTTCATCATCAGGGTCACTGGTATGATGAGCCGCCATATGAGAGCGATCCAGACGACTTCCTGATGTCCGGCATCAATTGCGGACCCGCCGCTACAATACAGGTAATGATTTTGATAAGCGAAAGCCAATGAAGTAAGAACTATGTTTGGCATCTAAGTAGATAATATATAAAAACATACATATCAACTCACTCATTCAGAATTTTTAATTCAAGAAAAGTATGTGAAAGATTTCTTATGTTTCCTCAGTATTTGAGCAAGACTTATAATAATAATCCGCGAACGAGCGGAAATAGCCGAGTCATAAGGGGCAAGAGAGTTTTCAGCGTTGCGATCTTAAGCTGCTCAGCTACAGAAACAAAATTTTCGACAGCTAAAATTAAGAACTAAAATTAAAGTTTATAATTTTTAAATGTTACTTGTTAAGATTAGATAAAATAATTTTTTAATGGTAAAGAGTGAGTCTGTGAGATCATTTGTGCTGGAATAAGAATTGAAATCATGACTTATGTGGCGGAATGCTTCTTTTAGCTCAAAATTTGTTCTAGAAAGTTTTAAAAGTAAGGGTCTAAACTTCCTGGTAAAGCGAGGGGGAACGTTAAAATTAATATCAAATAAAAGAGAGGGACTACAGACTGATCCATTCATGAGTTTTACAAAAAATATTATACCAAGCATCTCCCTACTTAAAAATTGTATCTTCGTTTTTTCTCAACCATGGAATATAGAAGAGATCGTATAATTTTTTTTTTTATAAAATTTTATGCCTAAAAGCCAAGCCAAAGCAATTCTGAAAACATTAATTATTTAAAATTTTCACTTATACCTATATTTGTAGTAAAAATAATGATGTGAGGACTTTTTGTGAAGAACAAATATACCTAGACAGTGCACTTACCAGAAAACGATAAGACTAGAATTGAAAGCCAAAGTTATTTTACAATAAATAAATATTTTGGACTATAAAAACACTTATCAAACTTCATATGGTTCAAACAGTTCGTTCAAGGAGCCACTCATAATTTTTCTTCGAAGTCTAAAATGAAAACTGATTTCTAGAGGGTTAAGGTTGGGATCCATACATTAACAGAGTATAACAAGTCTTTCAAAACACGAAATTATCTGATCATCAACAATAAATCCCTTAATTGATGCAGCTCTTGAATCTCTTCAGATCGGTCTGCGTCCCAAATGTGGCAATTTTGCTTCTTTACATACCCATTGAGTCAGAAATGAGCCCCATCGCTGAACAATATTTGGCTCGAAAACATCGCAACTTCTTGAAGCTTTTTAAAAGCCCATCGGGCAAAGCGACGGTTCTTGGAAATGCCGAGAGGCTTCAGTTCTTGCACAAACCGTATTTTGTACGCTTTCAATTTGAGATCTCGACATAAAATGCACCAAGTCAGTCCAAGTTGCTGCGAACGGCAACGAATTGACTCGCCATGGCTTTCGTGTGCTCTCTCAGCTACGGCTGCTATATTTTCTTCACTGTGTGGTTAAAAAACATGACAGCTTGCACATGGATCACCCGTTATATTGTATCCCACCATTGATATTTTTCACTCATATTAGAATAAGAAAAGATCTGCCTTTGCCCTTAATTTCAATCTAACCACAATTGCTGTTAGCTACAAAAAAAAAAAAAAACAACAACAACGCAACATTCTTAAATTCAGCATTGTCGTCTCTTTGCTGTAATCTAATTCACCGCAATTCACTGCCAGTCAACCACAACCGGGGGCTACGGAAATTCATTTTTCAACCTTTAAGTGGTTACCTTTTTTCGGCGCGCAGAACTGACCAATATCCGCTTTAACTTTTTGTACTGCGGCTTTTGGAAGCAGCAACCTTTTAACTGTACGTTTTTTTATTTTATTTGGTTGCGCACTTGAACGCTGCTTTTGAGCATTTGCCAAATAGCTGAAATAATTTTTCGAATTTAAGCTTAGAAGTCGTTTATGCGCTTGCCGATTTAAGATGCGGCGTTTTTATTAATTTTTTAAATTTCAATTTTTTTTTTTATTTGAAATTTAGAGTTGCCAAGTGTCAGTCAATACAGCATAAAGGTGTTAAAGGAAAATATAATAAATTTGTGGTCGAAAAATCTTAAAAATTAACAACAATTTTTTCTATCTTCTCTAACAAATTACAGTAATAGCGCTCACTTATGCTTCTTTCAGCTTCATAAAAATATTTTTCAACCAAAAAATGTTTTTCTCCTCAAAGTAGCGCCACCATTAGCTTCCTGTTTGCCTCCTTTAGGCCTACTTTACCACAAAATAGCAAGGCACAAGGTACCCCTCCACATTACTCCTCTACATGGTATTGGCAGAAGACAGACCCACACACGGGCGCACCCTTGCGTGCGGTTTTAGTTCAAGTTCATTGAAGCTGCGCCATGACTCGCTTCACTGCCGACTTCACTCTGGCGTGCGAGCATCCTTTATCGAAGCCTGCCCTTTTTGCCCGTTACCACTCATTATTTGTATTTTCCAACTACCCGTTTGCTTATTTTCTTTCCTTTTTCACATGCCTTTCTTTTTTTAGTGTTTTTGTCTGTCTGCCCGAGTGTCTCTGTTCGGGCTGCAGCGCACATTTCTTCGATTTTATTTGCAATCGCTTTATTAAATTACACGCTGAATATATTTTCTTTGCTTTGATTTCGGGTTCGCCAGCGAGCGTCCACAGGCACACACACATGCATCTGGGCATTTATGATTCCTTGCTGGCTGCCGTCTTCCCCAGAGCAAACGCTCTTTGCTGCTCTTTTTTCAATTTAGTGTTTTCGCTTCATTCGTTAGCCTTCTTTTATTGCTTTCTATTTTTTATTGAAATTCACTTTATGTTTATTGACAACGCGGAAATGCATAATTCTTGTGGCACTGCAAACCAAATGCGCCCCCCGCCACCCACAAGCATTCCCATGCAAGTCGCTCACCCGCTGCGCGTTTGGCAAATACGGTGCGTGCTCAAGAGCGCTGCGAAGACGCTGGCTGTCCTTTACAATTTCCGCTTCCCATAATCCTAATAAGTAGTCTGCTTCGATTTCGCCACACTTTTGTCTGCCAGGCGTCGGCGTCGGTGGCTCAGCCCGAGGCTGCGGCGTTATCGGAAACCGCACTTCGTGTCTCTTCTTTGGTTGCTCAAGCAGCAGCAGCGGCCGTAGTAATAGTGGCAGTCGTACATAACTGTAAATGCCATTGCATTGCCATTCGATAATGGTGGTTCTTGTTGCTGTTGGGTGGCAGATTAAACTGTGAACTTGTTTTCTCTTTGATTTATGAGCTTTGTGGCTTTTGGCAAGTGGTTTTTGACTCCGCATCAAATCCTTCAATTTCCATTCAGTTTGCTTTGATGTCAAATTTTGTTAGTTGCGCAATCGAACGCACACACACACAGATTGTATATGTACACACACCCACATCCCCAACAGGCTTTATTCATTCGCGTGTGTCGGGCGGTTGTGGGGTTAGTGCCGGGCAACGCATAAAAAATACAACGAATATTTGCGGTTTCACTCGACTTTATTTGAATTGGTTGCGAAAAGACGCAAACACAGTGCCGAATAAAATTACCGAATAACGGAGTATTGCAGCAATTGTCGTTCGGGCAAATTGTTATAAATTTATTAGGAATTTTTAAGTTCGCTGACAAATGGCGAAAAGTACGCGCTTTCTAGGGAAGCGGCATAATTTCGCAGCCACAAAAGAGCAAATTTCATTTATGAGGAATAATCAAACTATCAAGCAAAAAACAAGCACTCAGCAAATAAAGAACTACGCAGATGATTTATGCGAGAGATCGTGGGCGGAGGATAGTTGTGGTCATATATGTAAACATTTCTTAGCATAGTTTTTTGTTGCATTTTTATTAGTAAACGAAGGGTAAATTGAAACTGGGGTTGTAAGTAAACATACAATTTATGTAAGTTCAAGCGTTTTCGCTTAATCTCCCAATAAAGTTGGGACACATTAAATTTAAATATCATGAATTCTCTTCTAGAGACATCATAGCATAAGTCGAATTTGAAAATCTCTAAGTATCAGTTTGATAATTAGAACTAAAGTGCGTAGGGCCTCACAGACCAGTCTTTGCAATGCAGAAGCCCTTGTAAAGTAAAAAATGCAATACTTAGGTTTGAAAGCTGTTAATGTAGGTCTCTAGCGCTTATTCAGCTGAAGAGAATGAGAGCTGAATATCAGCGCGACTGCAAGGAATTGGTTTGGAGTGATCGTCTTAGTCAGATTTTCTTATATTAATAATATTCTCCGTGCTTAGACCCTACAGATTAAGAATCGCTGAGTGACTTTTAGAAAGTTTTTTCGTACATATTGAATAAGTTTTTGCCCTCAAGATCTCAATATAACATATTTGAATCACTCATTTAACTTCTTTATAAGGTGTGATCCATTGCAAGGTTCCCTACTTTTTTTTTTTTAAGAAAAAAATATAGAAGCTTTATTATCAATAGAAAGAATATTTTTCGCTATTTATTCCTTGAAGATTATGCCTTTCAAATGTTGGCCGCGGCTACGCCTCAGATGGTTCATTCATTGAGTCCATTTTCGATGAATCGCTCGACCATTTGGACTGGTAACTGGTGAATGACAGCGCTTGAAGAACTTTTTGGATAATGTTGGAATATTAATGCTATGAAAGTTCCTGAAAAACAAATATATGGAAATCTTCAACGGTTTGCTGTCATTTCAATTGTGTTGCAAGGTTTGGAAGTCGGACATATATTTTCCTTTTCATTTTTTGTTAACTACCTGCTAGACTCAATAATATGGGTTTTCAATAACCCTATTTCGAAAAATACTTCCATTTCGGAGGCTAACTTAGAAAAACGAAAAAAATCTCTTTTTACTTATGACTCAATCTATCGAAAACACATAGTTTGGTGCCATAAATAAGAAAAAAATAATTTTAGCAGTTCAGTGTTAATTATACATATTATTTAATGTGTGGTAATTTGATACTCTCTATCGATAAAATATAGGGCGAGTCATAAAAAAACGAAAATTTTTTTTTTCGCTTAGTAAGCATTAAATTTCTTACAAATCTAAGAGTCTTACCATTTATAATGATTTTTTTTTTTCATTAAGTTGTAAAATTAGAAAAAAAGTTTGCCATAAAATTATCGAACTTCAACGGTTATTATGTTTTAAAAGGTAAAATTGACGAAAAAGTCGCTTGTGACTTTTTTGAAGAGCATTCAATTTCCAGCAAAATCTATTAAACAGGGGCCCTATTCTGTATCTCGATACGTAAATGTATTCTATTCGAAATTCGGATCTACTTTATAATTATCCGAAAGTTGCACCACCCTGTGCCAGAATATATACGTACAATTTTCGTTTTTGCTTTCTACAACTCAAAAGCTAACGAATATTTGATTCGAAAACTAGCTTAAAAATCCGAAAATCGAGTTACAAAATAAAAAAAATTCGAATTCGACAAAAGTTTTTTTCGAATCGAGTTACAGAATAGGCCCCCAGGATAACTTTCCAAGTAGTTGGAAGCGAGATTTGAATTTTTCAATCTGTCAATAAGGAAAAAATAGAAAAATGTATGGCGAAGGAAGGACATTCCCATTACAAATAAGAATTTATTTGGAAAAATTTTCTTCGAAGTGTCTGCGAACCTACAAACTTTCAGAATATCAAGTAAAAAAAAATAATAATTTTTTTTATCCACTCTAATAATAAATAGCTAAAAAAAAAATTTTGAAACTCTTCTCTTGCGCAGTGTCTGAAAAGATTCAATATATTTTTTATATTTTTTACTTATAAATTATTAATTTTAATCGCTTCGAAGCTTTCGAGCTACTTCTCTAAATTTCCCAAACTGGCAATTTGATTAAAATTTCATTCATTCTAAAGACATGTAAACACCGTAATCAAACCAAATATTCCAATACCGCCATAAAAATACGTACAACAAAACAAAAGCGAGATCCCATTGAAAATTAAAACACAGCCGAAGATTAGGGTAGAGAAAAAGCGCTGCTCAAGCAAACATTTTCAACGGAATTTTCAACTTTAATACCGCAACACAATAGAAAGCGCACAATACACACCTTTGCTAGCGCCGCACATATACTCGAATTGGCCATATAACGGTTTATCATACAATTTCAAATAAGGCTTGTATTGCTTAGTGGCAGAGCTTTTTGCCAACTTTTCTAAACTTTGTTAATTTTTCATAATTCCGAGCATTTTCCCAGCAGACCGCAGCCACATTTACGGCCGCGCGCACTGCCACACACATGCAAATGTATACTTTTCTTTGCGAATATTTTAACACTGTTATAATGTAGCGTATTTTGGTGCTGTTTCTAATTCACAGGGCGGCCGGGTACGTTTCACCTCGAACCGTGAGAGTGTTGGTGTAATTTCATTAAGATCCGCCGGAGATATTTCACTGCCACAGCGAGGACCGCCCCGGCGTGGGCTTATCGTGCCACAGCAGCCGCCAAATCCACCGACAATAATACCGTTAACGCATGCCAGGTAAGATTATACGCACACTTTACATATACACATGCTTATATACTATAAATATAACGGGGCATAGCGCAGCCTATTCAGCGTGCATTTAGAAGCACGAGTAAAAGCGAGAAATACACACTCGTAAGCTTTTTCAAAGGGTATTTTCTTGTAGGCGAACACTTACACCTACACCGGTGTTTGTATGGCTGCCGTAAGCTAGAGGTGCTCGTTGTTGTTGTTGCTGCTATTATGGCGTTAGCTGCTGCTGAAACAGTTTCTGCCGCTTTAATCCACGCATTAATAATAAATATGGCTGCAGGAGCTAAGCGCACACACGCACACACACACACACACATACAGCACTCATTCATCCTTACAAGTCACACACACGCACCTACAAATCCAACAGCTCGTGTCCGTCAGCAGCATGCAAAGCAAAAGGTGTAAATTGAACAAATATGCGCCAACAAAAAAGGTGTGCAATAGAACACCTAGAAATGTTGCTGGGCGCTACTAAATCACACCTTTTTAATGATAGTACAACAACAGTAACAATGACTTTATGTAAAGCATAGCACAGTTATAGGCCAAAGCGAAGCGAGCGCGGCAAAAGCTGACGTTTAAGTAACGTTGGCGAATATCGGCGATTTATTGCGGCCAAATAAATATTTTCAGCAATTTAACGGCATATCAAACAGTTACTCGTAAGTAGGCAATTTTAGAGGTTATGAGCATAGCGCACACACAACGAAACATGTTTTATTGTGAGGGAGCAAGAATTTTTGTAGTAGATGAGATGTGAGTAGAGCATTGCTTACCTGCAGGACAATCGAAAGGAATAATAAAAAAAAACCACTATACTATATACATATATATACGATATGTTTATATATATATATATATATATATATATGTTTTAAATTTCTACGTCTTTTATAAACAGCAACATAACTATAAAATGAGGGCCACCCATATGTAACTGACATTTATTAAGACTTTTCTGATATAAGCAATGGCGTTTAATAAAATACTTCTAAATAAAATTTTTAAATCGCATAAAATCAGAATTGTTAGATTAAGGATTGAAAGTTTCGAGAAAGACACACGTGCAAATTTTATACATTATCTCATAAAACCTCACGCTAGGTCCAAGTAACCAAGTGCAGCTTATCTGGAAATGAGCTAGCTGATGAGATCGTCCGCTCCGTACCATACACAAAATTGCGTAGGACCTTTCAATGCGGTTGCTCTCCCCACCATACAAAGGCTGCTCCGCAACGAGGAAGGGGAGGAGTAGTGGCAACAACTCCAAGGCCTGTACCATGACAAGTTGGTTACAACCTCTACACTGACCATTGTAGGTGCACGAGGCACTTATGTTTATAACATGGGTCTGGCTTCTTGTGTGAATTTCCGTTCCTGCGACATGGAACTTGAAACTCCAGAACACCTGTAATTGACTGTACAGCAGCCTATAGGCGCATAATAAAGGCAATCGGATTCTTGTTTACAAATAGGGATCACATCACCTCAATACCACCTAGCAGCATGTTGACCTTTATCAATATCCTGGGGCTAAGTGAATCATTGTGACTGAAGAGAGGGTACAAAAAATTTAGGTCTCTGTGCAATCCTCATATATTCATCTATATAATCGGTGTCCGTCTCTTCGTTCACCACCGCCCGAAGAGAACCTTTTGACCATTGTTGTCATTTTTTATCAAAATTCTTTGACTTTTTTTTATATTGGGTCGCAGGATATTATTTTCCATATTTTTAATGCAATTTAAATAATCATTCAACATTTTGTTAAGTTATATATTTTCTATTTTCATCCAATACCTTTTGCAATCTTTCGGGCAAGAGATTGATTCCACAGTCACAAAATGTTCGATTATTGCAACCAAAACACTGGTCGAATTAGCTTTTGGCTTCCTGATTTGCGGTCGTCACCTCCCATCCAACAAATTTTGCAAATACCGAAACAAGTAATAGGCCTAAAGTGGCCCATTCTGGGAAAATATGTTGGGTGTGATAGCACATAGCATTCAAGCTGCAAAAGCTTTTGGCGAGCTATCAAACTTGTATCGCATTTCTATGGATCAATTTCTGCTTCTTCTGTTTGAGTGCATCACTCATATTGTCCAGCTGATCATAATGTGCTTCAGCATTAATCGTGGCATTATCGAGCAGAAGCTTAAAATAAACAATCCCTTCGAAGTCCCAACAAGCAGACAACAAAACCTTTTTTGCTGAGCATCGGACTACGTAGTGGTTTGTATGGATCTCTCTTTTCAAGCCATAATCGCTTACGATTTGCATTATTGTAAACAACGCACTTTCCGTCGCCAGTAACAATTTGCTTAAAACATTAATCATTTCTTTGATAGTTGATAAACAAATGACAGTTAAATGCTACGAAGCAAATTCTGTTGCGTCAAAACATCAGAAACCCATATCATACTCAAGATGGAAATTGTCGGATATATGTATAGAACACCAAACAAAAACTATTCCAAAGCATGAACAAATAATTTTACAAAAAAGCCTCAGTATATCAGATGTTGAAGTACTCGTATATAACGGTAAAGCGGTTAAGCATGAAGTTATTCAGTTCTTTCTGAGAACCTATAGTGTACTCCTGTATAACCTTATAAAATGACATCAGTTCGTAGAATCTAAAATTATCAAAATTATTGCCATTCGAGAACTACAACTTAGGCATGCAGTTGGTGTCATTTGACATTTCTCTTAGCATGATACTGTTTAATGAGTCATATGAAGAGAGAAATAACTTGAACTGGTAATTATGCTGATGACATCAGACAAGTGGCAATAGTGCATTAAATTTCCTACAAAATCTATTGAACAATATGTTCTTTCCAGTAGTTGGAAGCGATGTTTGAATTTTTCTATGCGGAGGATCTTTTCCGTTACAATTAAAAGCTCATACGCAGAGATACTATCTGAGAGGTTTTCAAGAACATAGTTACTACAGTACGAAGCGAAAAAGAAATATTTGTATTTTGTCCCACCCTAATAAATGTTATATAAATATATGATCACATGCATTAGACACAGCCCAGCTCCCACTTTCACCACACCGCAAAGGGTTCCACACAAAGCGCCACCAATTTCAAAGCCTACTTTTTATTGCGACAATTCGGTTGCCAATTTTACGTTTATTGCGGTATGTTTAGTACAAATTTTTTTTACAATTGTACCCTCAAATAACAACAACAAAAGATGGTAGATTTCATTTACATGGCATGCGTTGCGTTCATTATTGTTTTTGCTTATGTTTTGGTGCTGCTGCTTGCCCTTTTTAATAAAGCCAAACTGTATAGCGTTTTCCATGCCAGGCAAGTGTCGAAAAGAATTTCGCATTTACTTATCGAAAATGAACTACAGCGCACATTACTTTCACGTATTGGCAATAACACTTTTGAAATTACCCAAAATTCATTGCAGTTTGCTTAACGACTAGGGAGCAATGTGACGTTGAGGATTTGTTTGAGGTTGTAATTAAATTTATTTTGTTTTATGTGGCACATTCTTCACACAATATTAGTTATGAACGACAATACTGGTAGCAAATATGAAGGTGTGGAGTATAAATATTCGGAACAAAAAAAAACAATATGTATAATAATGCTATCATAAGTCTTTGCCAACATTTTGTAAGCCATATTTACGACTTTTTTATTAAATGTATAAATAAATTCTTAAAATTAAAAAAAAAAAAATATTTTTTTTTTATTTCATAAATATATTCAGCGAACTTCCGTTGGTTCTTATGAGACACTTTCTCCAGTCAAAATTCGAAAGCAATTTTTTTTTTTTTTCAAACTCCTTCAAAGTAATTGGAAAATAAAACTCTAAACCCAAAAAGTAATTTCCAAAAATATATAATAACAGTATATCGTTGTTAGTTAACGTGTCTCCTGATTTACTCTTAAGTCCGAATAAACTTGCCAAAATAGAGTTTGTCTAATTTAAAGTTCAATTAAACTTACGCACAACAAAAACAACTTTCACCTTGCCACTTACAGGTGCCATTAAATATTTTTTGCAAACACATTCCACCCACATTTCCACATTTGTGTTACACACAACACCAAACCCCACAAAACATACAGAGAAACACTTAACATTGAAATTATAGATTCGCAGACCCATTTGTTTAGTCGATTCCAATAAAATCGCCTGTGTGGCAACGTGAAAAGTTTTTGATTACTTCGGCGTCGCAGACACACAAGCACTCGCAGTCTCCTTGGGTTTGACCAACAAAGTTACACTTTGATAACAGCGAGTGATTCATGTTATTCGTGTTGCACAGCACACACACACACACAGTTTTGTTTATAACATTGGTTTAGTGAGTGTCTATTGCTTGGTTCGGACGCTTCAACTGTCTGCCAGCTGTCTCTTATACACATCTAGATGTGTATAAGAGACAGGTGTTGCACAGCACACACACACACACAGTTTTGTTTATAACATTGGTTTAGTGAGTGTCTATTGCTTGGTTCGGACGCTTCAACTGTCTGCCAGTGCTTACTGTCTCAACTGCCAGCCAGTCTATTTGGGTGCGTACGTGTGGAAAACTACTAAAAGGGATAATCTAACTCCATCTAGCAACATGCAGGCAAACACTCGCATCGATACTTCTGCACTCACCTCACTCTGAGGCACTCGAGCAACTTTGATTGAGCGTGTGTTTGCGTGTCTTGAATTGTCTGTGGGCTATCGCAAATCAAGAGCAATTCGCACTCACGTCTGCAATCGTTGCTGCCCCGTGCCCGCTGCCGACGTACGGCTGTTCATCAGCAGCTTGACTTTCACTCCGACTTGAACACTTGAACACAATGCCGCTGTTTCGCACCGCCGCCCTGCCGCCAAGTGCCAATATACGATTTCGATTTCGATTTCTCATTAGTTTCACACTTTACGAACGGTTTGTGTTTCGACTTTCTTCGTCCGTCGGTTTGCTTCATTTACAGCGCCTCTTATCTAAATGCATTTGCTTGCCCCAGTGCGTTTCCTTTCCAAGTGAACTTGTGTGTGTGTGTGTGTGTGTGTGTGCGTGTGTTCACTTATGTATTTGTGCGTAACAATATGAAATTGATGACTTCGAATGCTTTGTCGACAGTTGATTTGGGTTATTATTGCTATTTCGGTGCGCTCTCCTTCGGTCACTCACCGCTTCCTCAGTCGTGCAGTCATGTGATATGCCCGAGTATATTGGTTTTATCAAGCGGTTTCCAATTCTTTACAATCAAGTGCCTTCCACCTCTCTAGCTACGCCTTCTTCTTCTTCTTGCTGCTGTTGATAAAATGAAATTTAAGCTCGCTGCTGCACAAAACAATTTTTCCTTCATAACACCAAGCACAATAATCGTCTGGCATTGGTTCGTTTGTATCTTCGCATCATCCATTTTAATCCTTTTCTGCTTCACCTCAGTGAGTGAGTGGTTTCTGTGCAAAATCGTGCAAAGGTGCTGAAGTTTATGGAAAACTTTGTAAAAATTCTTTAGCTTGCCCAGTCCACATTTTAACGGTGCTATGAATGGGTTCGTTTGTGGTGTGTTGACCACATTAACTTTGTGATGAACCAAAATGACAGCTATTAAAAGTTTAGTCTGACGTGCTTGCCGTGCACGTCTGATTTGAAGAATATGCATAGCTATTCATGATGTGGAAAAAAATATAATTTCATGTATTATATGCACAAGCTTACACTTGTACGAAGGCATGAAACATTGTTCTTCAATATTATTTCCACAAAATATTTCATAGCTCAAGCAAGCCATCTCAATTGAGGCATTCGAACGAGCCTCAACTCATAAATTTTTGGTTTTGAACTGGCCGAACAAACATTACAAATAACTAGCTGCTCAGTATCCAAAATAACGATCTGATTGTATCAGCTATTTGAGCAGTCTGGCAGAACTTTCAGAGCAACCTTAGGATGCCAAGTCCTCTTAAGTAACTGTAACCGTTGCAGTTTTCTCTTTTCTGACGAAATGCTTCTTTCCGTGAGTAGTTTTTATTGAGATCATGGTTTCGAGAAGCGTTGAATACGTATGGTGTCACTAAGGTAGCCATCTCGTGACAAAAAAATAATCGAAATCGAATTAATTGCACTCATTTTAGCAAATGGGGGTTGTTTGCCCCCTCCACCCATTGACTACAACAATCGAAAAATCGTATGTGTTAGGAAATGTTTCTATCATTTTCTGTTTTAGCTACTCAAAGCCTAAATAATCTGAAATAAAAATCTAAATATGTGAGCGAATAATCATGAGACTCCAGAGTGTCTAGCTTGCTGAATCAATCAATCAATGTTTTAGATATTCGTGGTGTAGTGCATCATGAATATGTTCCGGAGGGACAAACGGTCTATTTAGAAGTATTGAGGCGATTGCGTGGGATACTCCGTAAAAAACGGCCGGAATTGTGGAAGAACAATTCATAAATTTTTCACGATAATAACGCAACATCGTTTTAAGTCACGATTGTGACTGAATTTAAAGCCAAAAAGGCAATGAATACTATCAATCATTCACCGTATTCACCATATTTGGATCCGTGGGATTTCTTCTTTTTCCGCAAACTGAAATTGCCGTTCAGTGGAACCCGTATTTTGTCGATCGAAGAGATATGTAAATCATAATTATACTCTCGCAACAAAGTTGCTAAAGAGAGTATTTTAGTTTTGTTCACATAACGGTTGTTTGTAAGTCCTAAAACTAAAAGAGATAGATATAGGGTTATATATACCAAAGTGATCACGGTGACGAGTATAGTTGAATTCCGGATGTCTGTCTGTCCGTCTGTCCGTCCGTCCGTGCAAGCTGTAACTTGAGTAAAAATTGAGATATCTTGATGAAACTTGAAATACGTGTATTCTTGGCTTCATAAGACGGTTAAGTTCGAGGATGGGCAAAATCGGCCCACTTCCACGCCCACAAAATGGCGAAAACCGAAAACCTATAAAGTGTGTGGGCGTGGCCCCGCCCCCTACTAACTTTTTTGTACATATCTCAAAAACTACTATAGCTATGTCAACCAAACTGTATAGTGTCGTTTCTTTTAGGCATTTCCATATACAGTTCAAAAATGGAAGAAATCGGATAATAACCACGCCCACCTCCCATACAAAGGTTATGTTGAAAAGCACTAAAAGTGCTTTAACCGACTAACAAAAAAGTCAGAAACACAAAATTTTACGGAAGAAATGTCAGAAGGAAGCTGCGCAGGCTTTTTTCAAAAATTGAAAATGGGCGTGGCGTCGCCTACTTATGGACCAAAAACCATATCTCAKTAACTACTCAACCGATTTCAATGAAATTCGGTACATAATATTTTCTTAACACCCTGATGACATGTACGAAATATAGGTTAAATCGGTTCACAACCACGCCTTCTTCCAATATAACGCTATTTTCAATTCCATCTGATGCCTTCTCTGTATCATACTCGTATATACATTAGGAACCAATGATGATAACGGAATAAAACTTTACACAAATACGGTATTTGATGCGAGAGTATAAAATGTTCGGTGACACCCGAACTTAGCCCTTCCTTACTTGTTAAAATAAACAGATGTTATATCATAAACTAAAGAAACAATAAAGCAAAACTAAAATTTAATTAACAATATTGACTATGTTCTGCTTTTCATTATTTCAGATCGCACGATCGCGAGAGCGGCGACTACGCGGGCTCCATATCGGATCTGCAAAGTGTCACCTCACGTCTCAGTGCAGTTTCGGTAAGTAAAACCAAATACATACAAATAAATAAAAAAAAACAACAACAAATTAAAAACACAAACAAAAACAGGTAAAAACTTGAAATTAGTTTTCCGTTAATGAAAGCATGTCGGAGACAAGCTGCAGCAAGCGCCATAAAATTCGCAAAATCAATAAAAACTTAAGCAAATGGCCACTAAGACAGCCACCTGTGTGCGCATTCTCGCCATTTGCGCGCATAATAAAAGCAAAACAGTGAGTTGTCACACAAAGCGGCCGACAACAACAAGCAAGCGAACAAGCGCTGAGCAAACCAGCCAACTCACCAAAGTATCGTGGCAGCTATTGGCGGCCGCTAAATTGATTAAGTGCACTTTGACAAGAAACTTTTGCGCTGTTGCGCCATCGCGCAGCGTGCAGCAATGATTTCGCCAACACATTCGTGCAACATTCGTGCAACTTTGCAAGCGTGGACGCTGCAGCAGGTCGCACGAAACACAAACAGTTGCCTAATGCTATAAGTAAGGCAATAAAACTGCAAATGTTGAATAAATATAGCAAGCTATTGCTTATTGTTTTTGCGAAAAGCTTTCAAACAACTTTGCAAAGTTGCTCTGATTTTGCCGCAGCGCCAACTGTCACCGCTACATTTTGCATTGCTTTCGGATGACGCTGCAAGCTTGTTTCGCTCTTTTATACACTTTTATTTGTCTTTTTTCGCTATTCCAACTACTTGCTGCGGCAATCGTCATTCAACTCGCATATTTGCAAAAATGTGCAATAAAAAGTCACTCATACGCCATGTAGCACATCTAGTTTAGGCAGTGTGTGTGTGCTTTAATAAGTAGGCGTTTGGCGCACAATCTGTACAGCTGTTTTCTGACGACTAATTTTGAGTTTTACACATAACGGTTATATCTGTTGCGCATTGCGGTAGCCTTGCCACATCTGTATAATTTTGAAAAATAAATATTAACATCTAAACTCCACTCCACTCTACTCAACTACATATCTACCAGACAGCTTTACTACTGTGTTCGGCCAACTAATCATTGCGCCCTCAACCTCACGCCACATTATCTGTGGCCAGTCTAAATTTCACTGCAATTTTCCAACCAAAGTCCAAGTACTGCCCAACTTCAGCCACATTAATAATAACGGTTGCACTACCTGACCGGCAACTGCTTTCAATTTCGCTTTATATTTATAACGTGTTTTTGTTTTTTTCTTCTCTGTGTTTTTCTTTGCAGATCGGCACCAACAACTGCACCGCCCGCTATCGTACGCTGAGTGGCGGCATCGGCGAGTCCCCATCGCTCTCGCCAAGTCCATCATCCGATTACGAGGATATTGCGGCAACGCGCGGCCTGCCGCCCAGTCTAGCGGCGAAGAGTAAAAAGAACGGCGTGCCGCACAAAGCCAACACCATCAGCCAGAAGGCCACAGTGCATCATGTAAGTTAATTACCGTTAGAAGAGCTGAACGGCCACTGATGGTCGCCAGCAACGGCAACGGCAACAACAAAAACAACAACAGCAACTAAGTGAAATGCATGCGTGCGCACGTGTATGTGTGTGTGTGTGTGTTTGGTGTGTGCGGTGTGTTCAGCAAACAGAAAATTTGCAATTTGCCGTCGTAAATCTCATGAAAATCAAAAAGTTTGCTCGCCAAATGCAAATCGTGTGTTGAAATGTGTAAATGGGAATCGAGTAATCGAGTAATAATGCAAACAGCGAGTGTGAGTGCGTTTTGTTAGAACCTAAAACGGTGCATGCAAGTATGCGCTTAAGTGTGTGTGTGTGTGTGTGTGTGTGTGTGACAGACGGTACTTTTGCCCACAAATTGCAGAAACCGTTTGGCGGCCGGCGCCCAGCGAGACTGTGGTCGCTGCGCACCAACAACCAACAAATTCGTAAGCGGGCAGCTTAAGCAAATGGCCCGGCAGCGTGTCAGCCGCCCAGCCTGTCAAGTGTCTGCACACTGCCGCCCGATTTATGCGCCCATTTCAGTTATTCAACTTGTTTGCAGCTTGTCAGAGTCTTCTGACTGCTGTTCGTGTTTTTGTTGTTGCAGTTGTTGCTGTGGCTTTGCATTTTTGTGTTTACATTTGCAATCCGATTTCGTAGCTGCATAAATAGTTGGCAAGTTGGCTGCGCTGGTCGCCATTCACCATGTCGCTGTATGTGAAAGTGAATGCATAAGTGTATGTGTGTGTTTGCGTGAGCGTGTGCGTGTGTGTGCACTTTATTAATCGCATTAGAGGAACTTTTCAACTGCTATTTGCCATCATTGCTGCATTTGAACGGCACTAAATTAGCTTAAGTTTGTGTGCCCATTTGATTGTAATTCGCAATCGTAACTGTATTTGCGGCTGCCAGAGCTGACCCGGATTTGCGAGCTGGTCCTTTCGAAATGCTTTGCCATTGCACAAGCCATTCGTAAGTTGTAACGTTGCGAAAATATTACAAATCGCAATGCAGTATCACTACACCAATCAAGAATATTCGCAGGCAACTCGAGCGATTTGCTGATTTTTGTGTAAAAAAAAAAATACTTTTGCGTAATATTAATATGAGTGGGTAAGGATAAGCGCAAATTGAACGCATTAGAAAGTGGTTTTCGGTAATTAGGCAGATTATGCTCAAAACCACTCAATCAGCTCTGTATCATTAGCCACAGTTGTGCATATTGCCATTGCCTTTAGTGCAACATAGTTAATTTCCTTTGTAAATACTGAGTCTAGTTACAAGTAATGATGTACCGAGTATCTAAACCTTGTTTGAGGTACATAATCAACTGTCATCCAAAGCACTTAGCGACAGGTCCAGAAAACAGGCTGTTTAGACAAGGTCAGAAAAAAGTGAAAGGCTTATTAAATGAGTGGGTTTGACGAGTACTCTCCAATTAGATGGCAGCACATATGCTAAGTATCTCAGTTTCTACGCGGTGTGGAGTAGTTAAAGAGAATATTTACATACTCTGATACAGTGAAAATCTCTAGGAGACTTTTAGTTTGGAGACTTCTTGCTAAAGTTCGATTTTAAAGCTCAAGACTAGTGCCTTAGAGCGAGATATCTTCAGACTTTTCGAAATTATATTTGCAGTATACTTTTTCATTTCCTCTAAATAGGTTTCTGTGATCACTGCTGCTTTGACGGTAATTTTTTCTGAGAACTGCTAGTTCTGAGAATATGTCATTAGGTTCAGTACTGAAGGAAATGGTAGATGCTAAGGCATTTCGGACTGATTAGTTTACGGTGAGATTTTCAATAGGATTTTTTATAAAACTAATGGAATGTGATTGCTGCTTAAACTGCATAAATAAATAGGTCATATCGTGCAGGCTAAACTAAAAAGCTACTAAAACAAAAGCAATATTGTAAACTATGAAACACAGTGCTCCAGAAGTTATGCCGCTATTAATAAATGGTAATAATATAGTAAGTGATCGAGCAAAGTAGTTGGAACTAATCTGGAACAGAAAGCTTTCATGAAAATTAAACCTAGATGATAGGAACAAGGAAGCGGCTCAACACTTAACCTAACGTATTTTACATTCACTATAGACTGACTTGTTCTACAAGCAACTGGCAGAGAAGTCAGCTCTTAGAGTGAGAGAATCGTCCCTATTAATCGTCTGTATTTTCATTCTTAGGCATTCGAAGATATAACGTAGTAATTCTGAATACCACCGATTTTTGTAATCCTATAAAATTTAACTTAAATTCACTACCCAATATTCCCCACCCGTCCAGAGAAGATTGGAAAAAGTTCGATGTGAACAGGGACGCAGGGATAAGTATCTATTTGGATGGATTCAAACTGAATAATCAACTGCAAATGGTTGCAGGACATAGCCTTTGAAGCAGATGAACTAGTCAAAGCTGGCACCACTCTACAATTGACTCCGGATAAGCGGAATATTGCCTCTGGCTACTTCTAGATATTTAATCGACAAGCATGTTATAAATATAGCTGAGTGCCGCTGTAGTCAAACTCAAATTTTTGCTCAACAAGCAGCTACTCGTGGCATTAATAGAATATCGGCCGCATATGTTTACTATTAAAATTCAACAAGAATTACATGTGAACTCTAGTGGGAAAGCTAATAGCTCACTGTCTAACTAACAGCAATGCCAGCAGGCTAGAAACGACGTATAATGACTATTGTCGAAGTTGTCAAGCGGTAGAAGAGGAGACTAAAACACATCCTCTTTGCGAATGCAAGACTTTGTAAATGAAAATAATCGCAACCATCGGTCGAACATTTCTTGGCGATACTTCGGAAGTTGCACTTATAAACTTTGTTGATGATCTTCATCAGAAGCATAGTGTGATTCAGAGAGGAGACAATAGAGCAAAAGGATTTGAACGTGGTGACTTCACAATGAGTCTTTCTAAAGGCTAGGTGCTGCGCTCCCTACTATTATACTTTAACTATGATGCTAAACTTTAAAGAATTAGATTCTGTGTGAAATATTAAAACAAAAACTTTTCGGAATCGAAATGGATTGCATTATAGTTCATGAATATTTACGAAAAAACAGCTGCTATAATCATCCATGTGTTATTTCAACAATATTTTCGTTGTAAAAAAATTTAAGTGAATTTATCGGTTATAATACCAGTTATATACATGAATATAATAGCAGTTAGTACCCGAATATACATAATGGCATACGTATAATCGGATATACTATGCATGCACGATGGAATCCAACTGAATGAGTTTCTTACATACATATTAGACCGCTAGAAAGTGCTAACACAAAAAGTAACGGATAAATTTGCTAGTTTGCCTTTGGTAAATATATATCGGTATGTGTGGATGCATTGAAAAGAGTAAAAGAGGCACGTCGCTGTAAAGCTAGAATGAACTAGGCAATTTGAGCTAACTACAACTACGCTACAAAATACAAATAACGCGTATATATGTACATATGTATATGCAAACAATGTACAAAATTGTTGCATATTTGAAGGGTTGCCCTTTACATACTTATGTAAGTAAATATATACATACATGTATATACATATATATGCGCCAAGCTAACTGACTGTATGTGATGAGTGTGTGTACAGTGTTGCTGTATTTGTTGTTGTGTGGGTGTGGCAGCAAACTTTTTAATGATTTAACTAACGAAACTTTTGCCTTTCAACTTTTTCCCTTCCATTTCATATCAACGAAAACCACCGAAAATCCGCATGAATGTATGCAACATGCCGCGCCACTACTTAACACACGCACAATTCAACAACTTTGCTTTCATTTCGCATTTCGCTTTTATGGCGCGCTTTTCGCACATTATTTCTATTTAATAAACATTTGATTATCTTCTTTTATATTTGTTTTTATCTTTCTGCACTTCGTTTTGGTGTTTTCTGCTTTCTTATATTGTTGCTTTATTTTCATTTAATTTTCTTTGGCAACTCTGTCATCGCCAAATCAACACGCAACGCCTGCAAATATGCAACACAATAATTTGCGAAACCAACGAACCAACCAACCGACGCAACCGCCGCAACCGGCGCACTAACTGCACTCCACCACCGCGGCAATCAACAAAAACAACCGGCAACCAACAACAATAAACACAAATGAACTGTGCGACTCGCTGCGTCGCCGGGCAGTCGAACGAAATGCGAAACTCACCAAAGGATATTGGCGTATTTAATGAGAACGGAAGGAACTTTGTAGCCACAAAGGATACTTCGAGGGATTTCAGCAATTCTCAAGATAATACCGACCGCGGCAGCATGAGCGACCAGGCCTTTGCGTGCTCGGCAAGTTCGGTGGAAAGTTTACCCAGCGCTTCCGGTTCAAGTAAGTTTATACTACATGTCTCTCTTTCTATATATATGTATGTCTGTGTGTATATTTCGAAGTCGCGCTGATGCCCTCCGCTGGCAAGCCAATCAAAGTCTGCTCCAACCCACAAATGGTTTTTGTTCACTTTCAATTTTTCGCAAATCTGCAACCGCAACTGCAACCACTTGGCTACGTGCCGCTCAGCTGCAAGCAGCGTGTCTCGCCCGAGAGCCCTTTGGTCGGATTTGCCGTGCAGTTGCGTATTGGTTTATTAACTGCTTAGTTGTTTTACATACAAAACTACAAGAAGAAGAGTAAGAAGAAGGTGTAGAGGGTGTCGCCAGCTGCTGCTGCTGGCTTCGCTCGCTGGGTGGCTCGCGCACCCACAGCCCGCACACTGGGTGGTGCTTGTTCTACGCGCTGTTATTTAAGTGGTTTTTCGGCAAGCGTAATAAAAACGTGGAAATTCTCCGAACTTAATGAATTTTTAATGTGCTGTTGAAAGTGGAAAAGTTTACACTGGAAAAAATACGACAAAAAATGCAAATAAAACAAAACGTTAGCAACTTGAGGCTGCGTAACGGCACACAGAGTCAAAGCGTTAAAGTTCGCATGCATTTTAACGACCATGCAGCCGTCGGCAGCAACCCAGTGTTGCATTTCACTATATGCAGAGCTCCACACTTACATATCTAATTGCTTCTGTATGTGTGTGTGTGTGTGTGTGTGTAGCTGGCAATTCTTGTTCGCATATTGAGGCTCAGCAAATTCTGATTGCCGTTAAACAATTTTAATGAAGCAAACTTTTACTTTTTCCTTTGTGGTGTAATTGCCATGCAGCCCTCGAACTCATAGCCGAGAAACAATAGCAAGCATTCAAAATCTAAAATACCGTTAAAAAATCTTCGCAAAGCAAAATTAGCAAAAGTTCTTCCTCAAATCGGCAAAAGCGATTGCCTTGCAAAGTGGATTTTCTTTGCTTTGCAGTTAGAAACTATACGAGCAGCAATTGCATTATTAAGCAGCAGCTATCGATTTGTTGTGGCGTAGTAGAGCCGACCAAATCTTAATAAACCGTTTTAATAACAAAGCTACAAAGTCAAATTGCTAAAGTCAAAGTTTCACAAAGTCGAATGAAATTCGGAAAGTTTTCATTAACCAAACTACTTGCTCTCGAAGTTTCAAATAGAATTTTGATGGAGGAATTTTTCGGTATTCTCGAAAATTAATCCTGCAATAAAATATGTTTAACTAAAAAACAAAAGTTTAAGCGATTTGAGAAACGTTGAAAGTTCGAAATTTCGCCAGTCGGAACAAATATAGACACCCATTTACCTAAAAGCTCATTTTATACCGCCTAGTTAAATTTCGATCAGCACTGTTGACAAACGAACGTGAATATAACAGAAACTTCTTTGAAACTACTATAAGTTGACACCATTTTTGTAGTATCTAACTCATTGAACAATTAAATTTTATTTAAAACAAACAAAAAAAATTTTGTTAAGCAGCTGGCAACCATTCTACAAAAGATATCAGCTGTGAGCTTACTTTTAAAACACAAGACAACTTTTTACAAAAATCTATACTACCGTAAGACTTCTTAAATCCACTTCAAACGCTTCAATTTGTAATACTCTCCTGGCTTATATTATTTTATAGAATAAAAAATTTTAAAAAATCTGTCAACCTCTTTTTAAAAAAAATTGTAACTATTAGAATATTGAATTGCTTCAATTTTCTATTTAATGAAAATTTTTAAGTCATCTGGCAACCGCTTTAAAAAATTTAAACTTTAAAAAATATTAAATTGCTTCAATTCGTAATATTTCTACGGCTTATACATTTTATTGAACAAAAATTTTCAAAACTTCTGACAACCTTTTTAAAAAAAAATTGCAACTGTAACAAATATTAAAGCGCTTATAAATTTGTAAACTTTCGTTCTCCTACCACTTTTATTCAGTTCAAAATTTTTAACAGATGGCAACCCTATTCTAAAATGTTTTCGAATGTACATTTACTTAAATATCTTACATTAGTAGAGTTTCAATTTTACTCAGTTCATAATTTTTAACTGGTGGCAACTCTCTTAAATTTATAGACTCTTACCCCTGTCTCTTATACACATCTTTAACTGGTGGCAACTCTCTTAAATTTATAGACTCTTACCCTCCTATCGATTTTATTCGGTTCAAAATTTGAAACAGGTGGCTGCCCCATTTAAAAATATTTTCGAATGTACATTTTCTTAACTCGTTTAACTTTGTGGAGCTTCCTTTTTCCTTTAAATTTGATTTATTTTAAAATTTGAAACATCTGGCAACCTTATGCAAACATATTTTCGAATGAACGTTTTAAATTTGTAGTTTTTCTTTCACCAATCAATTTTTTCAGTTTAAAATTTTTAACAGGTGGCAACACTCTTTCAAAATATGTTCGAATGTACGTTCATTTAAATCTTTTAAATTTGTAGAGTTTCTTTTTTCTATCAATTTTGTCCAGTTCAAAATTTATAATATGCGCCACCCTTTCAATTTACATTTGTTTAAGCAGCTGACTATGTATTACACTAAAACCCAAAAAGACATTCATATTGAACTAAAGCGTTTCGTTTTGCCATTTAACATTTCATATTTTTCAACTTCTATCTAACCTCCGCTTCCTCTCACTTCCAAACCAGGTACCCAAGCTTTGGTGCGACCAGGCAGCCCGCAGAGCTCCATCTCCACTGAGGATCGCGCTTCGTTAGTGCAAATTTGCAAAGCCAAAGCACTTGTCGACAGCATGCCGAATCCATATGATAAGGACGCGCTCAAATTTAAAGTAAGTACCATAAGTAAGCAGCTCAGATACAAATAGACTAGTAAACGACGCATCACGGATGCCAATGATTGGCGGCCGAGGCAGCTGTTCGGCAAAAGTTTCGACTGCGTTTACTGTTCGATGCTTCAGCAGTGTGAGTGCGAGTGCAGCCTTCAATGGCAAACGCTGGCACTGATGGCCCAGTCTGCGACTTGTTGGCGTTCGATACACTTTAGAGTTGAAAATAAAAGCAAATTTACAAATACACTCAACACAGGTAAAGATTATCGGTCCTTCGGCGCTTCAGTGTCTTTGCCGAATTTCGTAAAGCACTCTCAATGACTGCCATTTGCAGTGTTGATGAAATGTCAAGGCCTTCCGCAGCACTTGCAACTTAAGCGGCCGGTATGTGTAAGTAAGTGCGAGTGACTTTACTTCTTGAAGACAACCAACGAGTGCATTTCGAAATTTTAAACGCCACTCCTTCGATGTGCGGCAAATGTAAATCTTTATTGTTGTTGTATCCCATTATATGTTGTGTATTTCGGCAGTTATCTTTAACCTCTTCTTTACTCATGCACTACTCTTCTTTGCTCCCAACAGAAAGGTGACATAATCGATGTGCTGTCAATGAATGCCTCCGGCATCTGGAAGGGTCGTTGTCACGGCCGTATCGGACACTTTAAATTCATCAATGTGGAAGTGTTGCCCGAGCAGCGTTTGAAGTCGTCGAATAGTAAAATCCTCTGTGCTGGCGGTTTGGGCATTGGCGGCGTCGGCGGTGTTGTGGGCATGGGTGGTGGCGCCAGCATGCGACATGTCAGCAGCAATGGTCCGAGCTCGGTGGAAGATCTGCTCTTTCGCATTGGACTGAAGGAGTATACGTCGGTCTTCGTTTTAAATGGGTAAGTAGCGTAAAATCGAATGAGCGCACGAAGGAAAATAAAGTTGTTAAGCAGTTGACTTTGTATTAAACACCGAAAGTTAGAGTTCGGAATGCTGAAAAAAACAAGATATATATATTTAAGTGCTTCAAAAGACACGAATCTGTTTTTTTAATTTTTTTTTTTTTTTTTTTTTTTTTTTTTTTTTTTTTTTTTTTTTTTTTTTTTTTTTTTTTTTTTTTTTTCTCTTTCTTTCCTTTTTTAGCTACGAAGACCTTGAACTCTTCAAAGAGCTGGAGCCTGCCGATTTGGATTACTTGGGTATTGTGAATCAGGAACATCGCGCCAAATTGTTGACCGCCGTGCAGCTGCTGCACGATATTGAATGTAAGTTTTTGCACTCCCCAAGCTAAGCTACCAAATAAACCACTTAAAATAGCACATAAGTTTCCGAACTGTTTCGTATTAACTATTTCAAGCATTTGATATAATTGTATGTCTCTTTCATATTAACCCCACTTAAACCCCACTAACCCCGCTCCAACATTTCGTTGTTTCGCTACAGCCTCCCATTTCTCCCAAACAGGTTCGGATGGTGACATCGCTGGTTCCAGCTCGGAGAACGACGAGACACGCCTCAACAATATCAATAAGAAGCATGGCGCATCACCCTTCGGACGTCGCCATTTTCCGCGAGACTCCGGCTGCTACGAAGGTTCGCCTGTACCCACCTCGCAGACACCCACACAGAACATACCATCCACCGATGAGTCGAACAGCTTGGACGATGTTGTGACCAAGTGTTCCAGCGAGATTATGAAGCGCGTCGAAAGCGCGCGCCGTCAAAAGGAAAATCCATTCAAAGCTGGACTCTCCGCACGCGTTGGAAAGAAGGCACTACTGGGCGCCAGCCTAATGGGCGAAGACACCTTGACACGCGGCGGCGGCCTCAGCGAAAAATCCAGCGACTCGGGCGTCAGTAGCAGTTCGCTGTCCTCGGGTCCCATGAAGAACAGCACTTAACACTTACCCACCATACTCGCGCACGAGCTGATGCTTGGCGTCGGCCTACCCGGCCCCGGCGCGGGCTTGGCTGGCGGCAGCATCGGCGGTGCGCTCGGCGGCGGTGGCGCCACTTCACCTACCACATCCACTGCCTCGGCAGGCATCGTCGGTTGCGGCAGCAGCAGCAGCAGCGGCCTACTAGGCAGTGCTGGCCTGCTTCCCGGCTCTACCTGCAGCACCTTGCCACATCCGCCGTCTTCCGCCGCTGCGGCCGCCGTCGTGTCCAGCGCCTTGGCGGCGGCATCAGCCACCTGCGCGGGCGTGGGCAGCGCAACGGCGAACTTGAATAGAAATCTAGTGATATTGCGCAATCACTTGCGTAAAAACACAAATGTGCCGCCCGCAACGGCGACGACAGCGACAGCGCCTGCGTCAGCGTCAACTGCACTGTCCACACCGACGCACACGGGCGCATTCAACGACATCACGCCCACCAACACCAACACGAACACACTCAGCAGCAGCACAATCAGCGCACACATCAACAACATCAATACCAATCTGGATCGGGATCAATAGCCCAGCAGTAAATGGCTTGGCGCTTTTAATTTAGTTCGCTTATTACGTTATGTTAATTAGATGTAAAAAAATACGCAAATTAAGTGTGGAGAGTAGCATTAAAGTGAAAATCAACACTTCATTATCATAGTATAACTGTACATAGGCCTATTTATAGTTGTATATGTATATGTAAATCGCTGTGATGACGCGTTCGAATATGCTTCAGTTCAAATGTACAGTTAAAATAAATAGTGCACTCACACACACTCATACACGCGCACACACACACATGCATTGTTATTATAGCAAACAGAAAAAAAATATTAAACAACGCTTTTATAATATATTTAAAAAAAATTATATATGCATATAAATATAGTATCTGTCTCTTATACACATCTAGATGTGTATAAGAGACAGCATACACGCGCACACACACACATGCATTGTTATTATAGCAAACAGAAAAAAAATATTAAACAACGCTTTTATAATATATTTAAAAAAAATTATATATGCATATAAATATAGTATAACGGATATTTTGCATTTGTAATTTGAGTACTTCCTCAGGTGATGGCATTTAATAAACAGCATTTAATTATTGTATGTTTTAGCGGCAATTTTTATGTACAAAAACTTCGCAGCATTTATGCAAATTGATTGAGAACAACGCAAACAACAACAATAATGTAAAGTCCGAAACAGTTTATTTAAAAGTATTTATAAAAAACAGCAACAAAAAGAAACGAAGAAATTTGTGTTTTGCAATTCGCAACCACAAACAAACGCACACATACACACATACAAATAAACAGTAAGAAATTAATATAATTAGAATGTGCGTATGCGCGCACACACACACACACTTGTGCGTTAAATAACATTAAAACCAACTGCACACACAAGCACACCATAAATACGTGATATTTCAATACGTCCATGACTTTTTTGCTTCAATTTGTCGTTACTTATGTATAGTTGGTTAGTATTAAAAGCGCATCGCATTAATTTAATTGTATTTTAAGTTTTTTCGCATCACTTTTTCCACCTTTATGCATTTAATTATAAAAATTAACGACATATGTCGAGCTACTTTCGCTTCTCCTCTTCAATTGTTTGCAAATATTGAATTCAAACATGCCAACAAACAAAAATAAATAAATAATTACATCGAAATCAAATTATTTTAGAGCGGAAAATCAAAGCTGCCACCTTGTGAAATCTATGTATTTATTTTTTTACGAGCAAACAGCCTAAAGGTAGGCAACGGCTAATTTTTTTATATTTTTAAAGATAAAAATTCAGAAAAAGTTCTCAGAAATTCGAGTTCACTAACTGCAATACACGGTTCGAAAACTTTAATCCTACAAGCAAAAACAAAAAAAAAATTGAGTTTACTACTAAACACAAATGTAGGAATGTTATATAAGTGAATTTATACCAAACTCCAGGGCTATAATTTATTTATTATTTTTTAATCAATTTATAAAACTTTTACAATAGAACATAATTTTTCGAAAAGCTTTCCGAAATTCTTAATTCACTAACTGCTATTTTTGAAACTTACATATAAAAATTTTGGAAAAAAAGTATTTTTACCACGAAGTTCAAATGAAAAACTCCTAGCCCATATAGATATTTTTTTAATTAATTGATAAATCTCTTTTAATATCTTCTGAAATCGCTTTTATCAACATATATTTAGTTTTTTTGAATATTCAGCCTAAATGTAGGCAACAGCAATTTTTTTAGATAGTTTAAAGACAAAAATTCACAAAAACTTTTCAGAAATTCTTATTCATTAACATCTTTTTTCCAAAATTTATATCTTAAATGCCAAATTTTCAAAAAATATATTTTAACACGATGCTCAAAAGCAAGAAAGCTAAATGACTGCTTTTATGTCAGTATTTATATTTTTTTTTTTCAGCATTTCCTGCTAGACGTTACTTAATAATTAAAAATTAATTTTTCTCAACACAAAATAATTTTGCAGACCTACTATATACATATGTACCTAAACACTTTTTCAGCGTTGCCATCTTTTTGCTATACTTTTTATAAAATAATAATAAAATGAACTTGAAATAAAAATCTTGAAAGCAAATGAAAATATTTATTGAAAATTTTCAAATAACAGTGTAATCAAAATTTCAGCTCACGCGAATTAGAAGAGAATATACGGTAAACAGCGCTAATACTCACAGCTAGCTTTAGCTAACCATTGAATTTGAAAAGAATGAATAATAATAAATAAAATAATAAAATAAAATTATAAATAAAAAACATTGAAGCATCAAGGCTTAGAACTGAAAAAAAGAACTAAAATTAATAAAAAGAATATTTTCAAAAGATCTTCTTCATGAAGTTTGATTTAAACTAAATTTAAAATAACACAAATTTAAAATAAAAAAGTAAAATTAATTAAAAAAAAATATTTGCAGGGGAACTTTTTTATTAAATTCAATTTTACCGCCGAGTTCATCAAAAATTTACAAACTTAAAAATGAACTAAAAATGAAAATAAAAAATGTAAATTAATAAAGCAAGCAATTTTTTTCAAGAGAACTTCTTTATTAAATTTTAACTTATTTAAAAAATATTCCTTATACTTCCTTATTAAAGTTTATTTCTGTCGAGTCAAAATCATCACCAAAGATGAACAAACTCATAATTACAGGTAAACTAAAACTTGAAATAAAAAAATTAAATTAAAAATACTAAAATTAATTATAAAAGTTTCTACCGATTTTATTTTCACACTTTTTTGTTAATATCCTTTTTACGTTCAAAAACTGTAATTCAACAAAGAGTAAAAAGAAGATTTTAATAAACAAAAGCAATATGCACACGTTCGAGGTTATGTAGAGAACGTTGGTGGAAAATACAATAAATAAAATTCTAAGCAAACGAAATGTAAATATTCAATTCCTATTTTAATAAAATTTTATTTCTATAAATACAAATACATATATATCCTATAAAAAATTCTAGGCAAGAAATAAAGAATTTTGTAAATATTGCAAGCAACTGAGCATGAAAATTTTAACACCAGTAAATCATATACTTATATTTAGCAGCTAACTGTAACGATATGCAAATGTTCAATAACTCAATTTATTCAATAAGCAATAATCAAAGAAAAACGAAAAGAAAAAGAAAAAGACAAATTGAATTGTATGTATGTCTGTGGATAAGTGCATACGATGAAGATGAAGATAAAGAATGAAATATATTAATTAACTAGCAATAACTTTAAATAAATAAAATGAAAATAAAAACTGAAAACTGAAAACTGAAAGCGTATGCAAGTAGTTAGAGCACAAAGTTTAGGTGTTAGGCCAAGTGGGTGGTTGGGGGAGTGGTGGCGAGAAATCAAAACGAAACAATACAAACTTAAAGAAATTATGTAAATATACGAATACATATACATACCTACATACATGTAATCTATGTAAGTGTGTGTGGCAAACGCACGCAAAAGTTGTTACGAATACTTTATTAGGGAAATCAAATGAGAATTAATGAATCAATTTTTAAACAAAGTAATTAAGCTAAGCATTACAGAATACAGAATACGCATTTAAAGCAAAACAAAAATATAAAAAAATAAAGTTAAATTAAATTTATTGCAAATTATTGCAAATGTTAGCAACAAACGAGAGAGCAACGCTTTTAAAATTAAAAGCACACAAAAATTCAATGAAAAAAGTTAAGAAAATTGAAAGTGGAAAAGTAAAAATTTAAATAGCAAATCTACAAATAATTGTGTTAGTAACTAAAAATAAAAATAACGAAATAAAAAACTGTTTCAAAAGTGAGAGTGTACATATGCATGTTGGTATATACACATGTATACTCGAAGTCATGCAAAATAGCGATAAACAACTTGTTCGAATGAAGAAAATCAAAATTTGCAAAAACATAAATCCAAGTTGTTTAAGAACAATAAAAAGCGCTTAGCGAGCGGTTGCGAGTGTCTACAGGCCAATTTAGATATTTTTAAATGAATTATGTTGATTTTTAAAACTATTTTTGGTTTTTGAAAATTTAATTTTATTTTTGAAAATGTGTTTTGATTTTTCAAAACTTATTTTGATTTTTGGAAAGTTAATTTGATTTTTGAGATGAATTCTGACTTTTGAGAATTTATTTTGATTTTT